CCTATGCGCATCGCCCCGTCTCGAATTCTCTTATTGGCTGGTTAACGCTAGTTAACCTGAAAATACCATATAAATAAGAAATTGTTTAAAATCCTTTATAAAAGGTATATAAAAATGCCCCAAACGGGCTATCACAAACACATTGCAAAACGTTTTCGGATTAATCAATCCATCATCAGTGCAAACGGTTGTACATGCTAGTAGCCACCAAAATGTATGGGTCAAAACCTTTTAAATGTTTTAAATTTGTAGTTGTTTTACATTATTAGTAGTTATAATTTGTGATGTTTAAGTTACCGTTGGATAGGTAACATGGCGGCGTATGACTCTACATGAGTAAAATGGTCCTGAGACGAAGTGTCTACGAGGACCTGTTAATAACAACTCGTAACACAAACATTTAAAGGGTTTTGACCCATATATTTTGGTGGCTACTAGCATGTACAACCGTTTGCACTGATGATGGATTGATTAATCCGAAAACGTTTTGCAATGTGTTTGTGATAGCCCGTTTGGGTCATTTTTATATACCTTTTATAAAGGATTTTAAACAATTTTTTTGTGATATATGGTATACAGCCAGCTACAGGAACTTAGTTTCCTCGTGGAATACCATATAAATAGTTAAACATTAATATCGGTGATTTTCAGCCATCTAACTCAGTCCTTCTCAGGCTCCCCTAGAGCATAGCGCTCTACGGGCTCTGCGTATTGTTTCCTAGGCTCTGTGGCTGAGTTTCTTTTCAACTGTACCTGTCACTCGTTAATACTTTCACGATAAATTCTAATCTTTCTTTTGTCATTTTGTACTTAAATTATATGCAAAAATGTCGTTTTATAATAATGTTTGTTTCTTCAATTAGCAAAGTTTCATTAATAAATCTCAGTGGTTTTTCTCTGCAAAAAGAACAACTTTAATTAATATTTGTTGTACAATCTTGAAATATTTAATTACCTTACCTATAGGGTGAGACAACATTTGAAGCTTTTAACTAATAGCAAAATAACGTCTCTTTTCAGTAATAAAATTAATAATAAATAAAAATGGATAAAAATAAAGATAATAGTCATCGTCCAAAGCTCCATTTTAAAAGAAGAAATTATAATCTAAAGCTATTTACTAGAAAAATAAGACTTTAAATATTTTGACAGTGGCGCAATAAACTGTTAAAACCAAAATTACATATTAAAGAAAAAGAAAAAGGAGTGATCTGTTTTTCTTTACATATGCTAAGTCATGTTTTTAAGAAATAATATACACCAAAGTTAAACTTACTTTAATAATATACACAAAATATCTTATTCAAAGCAGTCAATTAATCTCTATATACGTCTAAAACTTGAGTTTAATAAGCCTTTTGTTGACGTTTTTGGTAACAAATTGATTTCTCACTCACTTTCTGATGAAAACCCAAGAACGGCATATTGAAATTTATCATTAATCTATGTTAAAATATTCTCGAAACTCTGTCCACAGAGATTATTGCCAATACGTGTAATAATAATTATTCCTTACAAAGAGCTTAATTGGGATCCGTAATTTTCGGGATATTGTTAGTGTCGTCATTGTCATTAACATAGATCGAATAGAATTACCGAGCGTTATTATGAAAATATAATTATTTGATACATAATTACGAAGCTATTATTTTATATAGAGTACTAGTCCTATTATAAAACGCAAAATTAATTTAACATATAATTATCGCCATTTATATGACATTACACTTGTTTCTATTAAGTATAAATTTAACTGAATTATATGGTTTTACAAGAACTAAGTATTGTAGAGCTGACAAATAAACAAAATATTATGCATAATAAAGATAAACTGTGAAGTTTTAAGTTTTAAGACTTAAAACCCAAATTTATGTGCTAGTCATCAAAATAAGAGATGGATTTATCTTGAGGTATTTTAAACATTCAGCTTTTTATTCTTAATGTGTTTATTTCATTATTCCTTTCTATTTTTAACCCACTTATTTGTGGTGTCTATTATACACATATTTGTCAATTTATTTTTGTTTTTGTTTCTCTTCTTCTTCGTGTACAATCTTTGCTAGTACGGTTGGCTTTCATCATGGCAATTCTACCCCTAAAGGCTTCTTTTCATTGAGAAATGTTTTAGATATTATAAATAAATTGAAAATAAATTATTCTCTAGTAATTTCTATTTTTATTTTCGATTTCAAAAACCTCTTCTTCTTCTTCTTCTTCTTTTTATATAGACATTACTCCGTCTGTTTCTTAATGTGCCTCCAGTAAGTTGTCATTCCATCGTTTTCGTGGTCTTCCTACTGATCGTCTTCCTATTGGGAACCGTCTCTTGCCGTCTTTACTACTCTATTTGTAGTCATTCGGCTTATATAATTGTTCCATTCTACTCTTCTATTTCTTATCCAGTTTTTGATGTTCTCTACCTTGCATTTATATCGTATGTCTATACTTATAGCTATGTTCCTTAGTGTCTCACCATCAATTTTTCTAAATGATTTTATCTCTGCTGTTTCTAACATCATTTTTGTTTCTCTGTGTTAGGTATTGCTTCTGCTGCGTAACTCATTATTGGTCTGATGACTGTTAAATTCTGCCTTTCGTTACTTTTTCGATATTTTTATTTCTCCATATTGTTTTATTTAGGCAGCCTGCGACTCTGTTTGCTCTATTCACTTGATCTTCAATTTCGGTTTTGAGCTTTCCGTAGCTATATAGTGTGATGCCTAGATATTTAAACTCCATCACTTGTTCTATTATCTGACCTTCCAGCTCCAATTTACATCTTAGTAAATTGGCTGTTGTGACCATGCATTTTGTCTTTGTTGGGGAAATTAACATGTTAAATTTTTTGGCGGTTATATTAAATTAATGCAGCATACGTTGTAAATCATCTTCACGTTTAGCGAGTAGTATTGCATCGTCTGCATAGCAGATTATGTTAAGTTATTTTCCTCCCATTTTGTTCTTACTTTTTATTATTTCATCCATAATCAGGTTGAACAATAGAGGACTTAGGGAATCTCCCTGTTTTATCCATTTCCATCTTCAATAGGGTCGGTTAGTTCTTCTTCTACTTTTACTTTTATCTGTTTTGTTTTGGTAGATATTTTCGATCGTTTTGATTATCCTAAGGTTATCTCCTTGTATACAGTAAGTGGATAACGGTGCATGATTTTCCCGACCTAAAACCTTGTTGTTTTTCTGCTAGTGTTATAATTTCATTCAATGTATTTGTTATCACTTTGGTTGTTAATTTTAATGTTGTGTTTAATAAATTAATTCCTCTGTAATTTTAGGGGTCCGATGTGTCTCCCTTTTTTGGAAGAGAGGTATTAGGATGCTTGATCTCAATTTTTGAGGAATTCTGTTTTGTTCTATTATATTTTGAATTATATAGTTGCTTGGTCAGATCTAGTCCTCCGTACTTAAGAAGTTCGTTCGGTATTTTGTCCTCTCCTGGTGATTTTCTATTTTTTAATGTCCTTGATGCTTCCTTTACCTCTTCCTTCTTAATATTTATTTCTTCGTTCGTCGTCACCTCTGGTGTTGGTGGTTCATTATCGTCTCCTTTAGCAAACAGGGATTGAAAGCTGTCTATCCATGGTTCCTTCTGAATGTGTTTCGTTTTTATTAGTTCGTTAATTTTTTTTCTTTGTCGTCTGATCATTTTCCATATTTCTTTTTGTGTTCCGTAGAAATCGTGTTTCATCTGTTTTGAGAAAGTCTGCTAGTGTTCCTTTTTTATTTAAACTTTGAAAATAAGGCTATTATCGAGCACAAGTTAATTAAATCTAGCCCAAGTACTTTCGCTTAAAATAGCATCTTCAGGGGCATTTCGTCAAAATAAGAACTATCCGGCAAGCGTAGGATGTGGAAACATTAAAATTAACATAAATTGTACAAAACACTACACTAAAACGAGGACAAACAGTTTAAAATTACTTCTACGCTACATTCTCTGTCAGTTTCTCTGACAGAAGATGTAGCTTGGTCAGATCTAGTGATGAAGAATGTAGAAGATGAAGAAACTGACAGAGAATGTAGCGTAGAAGTAATTTTAAACTGTTTGTCCTCGTTTTAGTGTAGTGTTTTGTACAATTTATGTTAATTTAATGTTTCCACATCCTACGCTTGCCGGATAGTTCTTATTTTGACGAAATGCCCCTGAAGATGCTATTTTAAGCGAAAGTACTTGGGCTAGATTTAATTAACTTGTGCTCGATAATAGCCTTATTTTCAAAGTTCATTTATTCGAGCTTTCAACCTCATTTCATTCCTTTTTTATTTGTCTAACTAAAGTATTCGTTTCATTTCTGATTCGTTTATAGTGGTTGTATGCCTGTTGTGTTTGTTGTGTTCTGTATTGTAAAAAGTGTTCTTCTTTTCTTCATATTTTGTCTTTACTTCCTCTAAAGAATGGTGTTTTCTTTTTTGATATGTTAGTGTTTGTTACTTTCTTCTCTCTGTTAGTGATTCTGTTTCTGCTTTAATTATAATATTTTTGAGTTTTTCCCAGCATTCCTCGATGTTATCGTTTTCTAATATTTCATTTCCAGCGATCTTCTTCGATATTCTTTTCCTGTATATATATAGGTAATATATACTGACGTAATTGTGGCAACTGTGCTTTGTTCAGCCCCCACTGCTGTGGTTATGACCATAAAAAATCATGCGATTCGAGAGGCGTGGTTATTTTATTTTTTTTTATATATTTAAGTTATTTTATGATCAAATTATTATTAATTTGTTATGAATTAATCATTATGGCCCTGATAGTGACTTTGTCATTCTGTGATTTTCGTAATTACCCGATCTCACCATACTATTATTGGAATATAGGTACGTGACTTCGTACGCTTAAAGGTTTTACCGGAATCAGTTTCTTAAATCCACACATATCATTAAAAAATACTTCATCTTATCTAAAAACTGTTACGGACATATATAATTTGTCGGATGTTATAAACTAATTAAATATACCTAATACGTTTATTTTATTGCAGGTGTCCACTTTGATACTTCTAGTGCATCCTTAGTAAACGAAATAATGACTGCCATTAAAGTATATGCTTACGGTGTCGAAGACTTTACAGCAGATCCTGAAAATAAAGATAGATCCCTAAACACCCAACTTTCTTGTGAAGGAGTAGGAGCTGCCCGTTGGGATACTGGTGACCGATTTTTCAGATACTTAAAGAACGTTAGTGTTGAAGGAGATCAGGGGAAACCAAATTTGGAATTTACTCAAGATGGCGTATTACGTTCTGCTGAGTTAAAAATTATGAACCTGAGACCAGGTGTAAGTAAGCAGCTGGTTTGGGAAGAAGTAAGTACTAAGTTAAAATTTATATAATTTGATATTTATTCTCACGTTTAAAAAATATCTTATATATTTAAAGGAAAAGAAAAAATATCTCTTACATTCATTTTAATACAAAATTCAATTATTATAAATTAAGCTAATATTTTTGATACACTTTTTAAAATTTGTAATAAAAAATACAGTTTTCTATGATACGAATAAATATTTTTCAAAAAGTAAATATAAATTAGCTATATAATAAAATATATGAAATCCGTCTCTACATGTTGTATCAAGTCCCTGTGTGCGATTACCACATCCAAACTTTGTCTGTGTTGTGTTATTCCAAGCAGTTGTTTTGCTGCCCTTATGACTTTATTCTCTTATATCTTGTAACCAATAGGCCTGCTTTATGATCAGTTATAGAATTAATATTATACCGACTTCCCCCTAATATGCACCTTAGGTCTCTTCTTTCTGTTTTTCTCCTATCGGAGATTGAATGTCATCAAGGCTATTCGAGCTATATTTACAGCTATTCTAAATAGTTCGTTTGTGGTGCTACCAAACCACTCTCTTAGATTTCTCATGAAGGATTTCCTTCTGCGGCTCGGATTCCTTCTTTTTTCAACCTTTTCCTACATTATATTTTATAGGAATGTGTATCTTTCTCCCTGCCTATAATTGCCTAAGTATTTTAGTTCTCTCTTTTTTATAGTGTGTATTATTTCAGATCTTTTGTCTATTTGACGTAATACTTCTCCATTTGTGACTTTGTTAACCACCAGTTCTTTATATTTGTCGATAGCACAACATTTCTAAACTCTTTCCATGCCGTACAACAAGTTAAGAAAACACCTATTTTCTTAACATTTTTATTCCTAGAGAGAGACTTATACGTTTAGACTATATTTTAAATAATGTAGCTAGTAATTTCAGTACGTCCATTGATCTCGATATTTTTGACCACTTTTTTCGTTTTTGATAGCTCCCAGGTATTTGTCATTATTTACCATTTAAATGGGGGTCTCTATTTATAGTAATGTCTATTTATAGTCTCTATTTATAGTAATGGGTATTTATAGTAATTTCTCCGATAAATTGGATTTGTACCTAAGATTATATACTGGGTTTTTTGTTATTGATCTGTATACCGTAATTATTGCATCCTCAACAGCGCAGGTTGCTCATCGGCGCAGCTGAGGTGATCATCTGCAAATCTTATGTTATGTGCATTATTATTACCCTATTGACGATTATTTCTTCTTTTGCGTTTGTAAAAGCTTCCTGGCAAATAATTTCAATGTAGACATTAAACAGTAAAGGCGATAATATACATCCCTATTTCACTCCACGTATTACTATTATTACCTCTTAAACTTCCTTCATTCTTCTATTTACTCGCTGGTTCTAATATAAATTAGGAATTATTTTTAGATCTTTATCATAATATGTACCTTTGTTCTTTAAAATATCTTTAAGTAAATCATGACGTATCCTGTCAAAAGCATTTTTAAAATCTATGAAATATGCATTCAAGATATCCTACTTTGATAGATTTGACGCTATAAATCAACTCACGAGCAGTGTCTGGTGGTCATAAGAATTGCTTTGTTTATGTATATAAGAAAGTTGACCATATACCATTTAATTATGCGCTTTCGAGGTTGTAACTACAAGTTTTCGTTACATAGGTATAAGTTCCTTACAAGTAACAGTTGTCGTTTTACTATCGAACGACAAATACCAGTGAGCTCTGTTATTAATAAAATCTGCGATTAAAAATAATTTAAAAAACCACAAATATTGTTTATTGTGATATTGTGACAAGTGATAAGCTTAATAAATGTCAAATTTTGAAATGGCCTTCAATCCGAACTCCTATACGATGACACAAAATTTGCAAACAAATTCACCAGTATGTATATTATAGCCTGGTACCTATCACCAGCAAGGAAATCCAGAAAATTCACATATATCAAACAAACAACAAATACAAGGTATAGCGTTGTATTTTTCTCAGTCGGTAAAAAATATATTATATTATCGTAACCCACAATTACTAGTACCAAATTTATCGGTCATGTACAAAAACAGTCTCAAACGCCTAATTGAAAACTGTAAAAAATATAATAAAGGAAATCATAGCAGTCCAGATAATCGACCAGTAAAACAAACACAAACAAATGATTATTCGCTTAATCTGCCTATATTCACAATAAATCCTTTAAATAGCTTAAGAAAAATACAAACGAAATAACTGATGCTGAAATAACTGAAATACTGACAGGGAAAAATGTAAAACCTAATAAACCACCTTCATTATTACTGGTGTCAAAAACCCTAGGGATTTAGAAAATCAAAATATTAAACTTTGACCAGATTAAGATCTTATCCAAAACAATAAATGGTTGTAATTGTAAAATTGTTTTAACAACATTAACTATTTAGTTAATACAAGTGAATTAAAAATGCCATTGAAGAGCATGGCTAAAAAATTGAGATCATACGGAGCCTAAAACGCTTTAAAACAAAAACGTCAATACTTATGTTTCACATTTACATAAACCTATTAAATAATAATAAATAAATATAAAACTTTAAGTACTTATTAAACTGTCGAATAAAGATTGAGATGCCAAACCACAAAAGATAAAGAGTACAGTGTACAAAATGCAAACGTTATGGGCACACAAAGAAATACTACTCGCAGATATGCGTTAAATGCATTGTAGACCATCCAACTAAGCTACGTTCACGTCAATAATACTGCAAATTACAATGGTTGCTTTGTCCATAAAGAGTTGCAAAAAAATAATTTACGACTCTTAAAACAAAACAAAGTTCTTGTATATCTCATATATATTCTAGATAGTTATAACATTTCCTTATTATGCTTAATAATTTTATGGAACAGATGTTAACAATACTAAATATTCTTACCACTGTCGTGATTCAATTAACAAAATAGTTAAATTGATAAAAATAGCCCTATAGGATGCCATCTATCTATCTATCAAACTATAGACCAAAATCTATTCATGTGTTGAATATGCCTCTCCCATTTGTCTCCATTTCTCTCTGTCTTCTGTTTTTCTTTTCCATATTGGACCTGCGCTTTTCTCAATGTCATCTTTCCATCTCATTTGCGATCGACCTCTTGACCTTTTTGCAGTATATGGTCTCCAGCGGCCAATTTCTTTATTCCATCTTCCATCCTGATATCTCTATAGAATGCCAACGGTCTAGAAAAACATCCAACAGAAGTAGAAGTCTTTATTAGAACCTTTAATATAGATACCATGCTTGTTGATATTTTAAAAATTTGAAATACACACGCTACTTCACAAATCATCCAGATGGTACGTCACACGGAGAAACCGCAATTATTATTAGGTCAACATTCAGACATCACGAACTAAATCAATATTCAAAAGACAACATTCAAGCATCCAAAATAAGCATAAGCAATATGAGCACTGTTTCTGTCGTACATAGCCCACCAAAGCACGTTTACTACACTTAGCAACAGATTTATTGCTGCTGGTGATTATGTTGCCAAGCATACAAAACGGGGTTCTAGATCAATAACACCAAAAGGTATAAAAGTGTTAAAGCAATAGAAACTAACAGTCTTAATTTCATATTAACCTACTGGTCAACCGACAGAACTAAAACTCTGATATTGTTTACTTTTGAATTAACCAGGTAATTCCCAAAAATTGTGTGTTGGCAAACTCTTGTCTTAAGTTACTTCTTCTTCTCTTCTCATGGCGCCATTCCCTTTCGAAGGTTGGCGATCCAAATGGCAATTGTGGTTTTGGAAACTGCTGTGCGAAAGATTTCTGCGGATGAGCGGTCGAACCATCTCGTTAGGTCTTTCAGCCATGAGTTATGGCGTCTTCCTACTGATCTTTTGCCCTGTACTTTTCCTTCCAGTATAACTTGAAGTAATTCATATTTTTCGCCTCTCAACACATGACCCAAGTATTGCATTTTCCTCTCTTTGATTATTCTTAGTAATTCTTTTTCTTTACATATTCGACGAAGTACCTCAACATTAGTAACTCTTTGGACCCATGGAATTCTCAATATTCGTCTGTATATATACATCTTAAAGACATATTTTCTTTTTATATTTCATAGTCCATTGTCCAACTTTTACAGCCATACAGTAAGACAGAAAAAACGTAACATCCAATCATTCGGATTCTAAGCTGCAGACTAAGGTCTGATCTTGTAAAAAATGTTTTCATGCTCATGAATGTTTTCTTTATTTGTTCGATTCTTGATAGTATTTGCTCCCAAATATTTTATGGAATTTAACTGTTCTATTATTTGACCCTTGGCATACACATGTACGTTTATTGGTGTCTTTGAAAATACCAAAGTTTTCGTTTTGGAAACGTTTAAATGTAAGCCGAACATTTCGCTGTGGTAAACTATCGCATTTATTAGATTCTGTAGTTCTTGTGCGTTGCTTGCTATTAAGACAGTATCATCAGCATATTTGATGTTGTTTCTGCTGATTCCGTTAATCTTAACTCCGCCTTGGACCCGTTCTAATGCTTCTCTGAATATAGGCTCCGAATATAAATTAAACAGAAGGGTTGATAAGACGCAACCCTGTCTCACTTCTCGTCGGATTTGTATATCTTCGGATGTTGTGTGTTCTATTTCAATTGTTGCTGTTTGGTGCCAGTATAGTTCTGAGATAATTTGCAAGTCTTATTCGTCAACTCTAGTTGTTCTCGGAATTTCGATTATCTTTTAATAGTTTACACAGTCAAATGCTTTTCAATAGTCAATAAAACATGTATATACATCTACATTCATGTCTCTGCATCGTTGCGTTAACACATTTAAAGCAAACAGAGCCTCTCGTGTTCCCAATCCGTTTCGAAATCCGATTGAGTGTCACTCATCTGAAACTCGCACTTCTTGTAAATTCGTGTATGTATAATTCTTGGTTAGAAGTTACTTCTAATCAGTCTCTAATTTCAGTTAGCACTGACCTAATACAAAAAATAACAACTTTAAGCTTGAGCAACAAATACACCAATTGGAATGGTTTTTGTAAATATCTGGATACTTTTTGATCTTTACATTTCTCTAAAATCAGCAATGTGAATATAGAAAATACGGTGGAAAATTTTATAGGATCGATACAAAAAGCGAAATCAAATACCACTTTAAGCCAAGTGTTAGCTAGAACACGATCAAACAAAATTAAACAGAAAATAATACAGAAACAGAAAATAAAGAAATCACGACAAAGAACTTATGCTCTAGGGAACAAAACTAAATTAAAACAAGCTACCCTAGAACTCTTCGTTTCTCATTTTACGGGGATTTCTGGGCATTTCTCGAGCACACTTGCCTGTGAGAATTGATACAAGAATGTTGGCAAGAGAGGTTGGGACATGGTACTCGCGTTTAAAGGGAGTGAGAGTGGAATCACGGAACTTCCAAATATAACCATAGAGAAAATTAAATTGGGGGTAATAAAAAGATACTAATGACAATTAAACACTTGAAAAAGATCGCACTGTAAGTAAAATAATAAATCTAGGAGGCAATTCATCTGAAAAGCTTTAATAACTCTTCATAATGCCTACCTCTTTAAAAAGAGTTGTAAAAAAAATTGGAATCTTCAAACTTAACATATATTATCTTATTTATATAAGCTGTTTATGAGCATAATTACCAGCAGACTGACCAAAGCTAAATTTTCATCAACCACTAGAGCAAGCCGGATTTAGAAGTGACTTTGGAACGAATGACCACCTACAAGTAATAAAATCCTTGATAGAGCTTAACTTAATTTAGATCTCTATTTTGAATTGACACACATTAAGTTCGGATTTAACTACATGAGGCACCAGTCTGGAGCGAGGCGGTAGAGATAACGGCCTATAGGAGTCTTACTAAACGAGTAGACAGAACAAGTCTGTTGCGAGTGGCATGCGCCTATATAGGACTGTGTCTGCGGCAGCCTTATGGACCATTACTGGATGTATTCCGTTGCATGTTTTGGCGGTGGAAAGAAAAGAGCTTTATGAGAGAAGAGGCCCAAACTTTACTATGGCTGAGAGGAGACAGGTAAGGGAAAGGTCAGTTGTAAGATGGCAAGAAGAATGGAACAATACGGAGGATGTGGCACAGTGGACGAAAATGCTGATCCCGAACATAAGAGCTTGGGTGGACTGTGGCCACAGGCGACTGAATTATTTCCTGACGCAGGTGCTCACAGGACACGGGTGTTTTAGGGCCTACCTTTATAGGATCGGAAAGGCTGATACAGATGAATGCCTATATTGTGGATACTCGGACACTGTGACACATACGATGTTAGATTGCAGCAAATGGATAGTGGAAAGGAACAGAATGGAGAGAGAGACAGGTGTGAATTTTGTTACAGTGAGAGAAATGATTAAAAGAATGTTTGAAAATAAATTAGGTTGGATTAACATACACAGTTATATGCGTACAGTGATCAAGAAAAAGGAAGAGGAAGAAAGGCAGTTGGACCAACGGCAAAGGAGGAAATGCCCTCCTGGGAATGATGCCGAACTAGGAGTGTGGATGTGTATGAATGGAGAATGAATGAATAAAGGTAGTGTTTCGGAAGTGATGCCGGCCTTACAGCGGTCATTCCGCTTTCGGATCGCTGGATGACAGAGGAGGGTTAAACCAGACCCTGGTAGGTAGGCGTTCGGCGTAGACTCGGCGACGAGAGGGCATTTTAAAGTACCTCGGGAACTATCGCCGGGAGTACGAAGAACGAATCCTGCACTAAGGTTTAGTCAGGCATCCCCATCTTTTAAAGATTCCAGACCCCCCCCCCCCCCCCGCCCTCTATAAAGACAAAAAAAAAAGGTTACCTAGTAAAGAATCCGAAACTTCGCATAAAAACAAGTAATCTTGTACTAAGTACCATAAAGAAATTAGTTACAGTCTTATTCTACTCACAATATTTTAACTGTACCTACTACATCATAGTATAAATATGTATTATAGTATATCATCTAAATGATAAACATAATTTTTTTTTGATAATATTTACTGAAAAGTTTGCAAACTAAATTATTCTTACTGGTAAAAAGTGCTTAAAGACTTAAATTAATTAAAATTTATTTTCCAATAATACATTCTAAAATCTTGATATTTTATAAATTTATCAATGATATTATGTATATCATTGATAAATATATATAAAATTTATTTATTTTTAATGTGTTCTGTCCCTCGACAAAACTCAGACATGTGGTCAATGTCCGTATAAATTTAATAAAAAATGTCTGGGTAAAAGGCCAACGTATAACTGGCCGTAGCGAGGGTTTCTGTCGAGATATCTAATTTAACCCTCTCGGATTTGCATTTACAGATCGGAGTATGGAAATCTTGGCAAAAACAGGGACTCGATATAAAGGACATCGTCTGGCCTGGGAACAGCCACACTCCTCCCCAGGGAGTACCCGAAAAGTTCCACTTGAAAATAACTTTTTTGGAGGAACCGCCGTACATTAACTTAGCCCCACCGGATCCAGTTACCGGAAAATGTTCAATGGACAGAGGCGTGCTTTGTAGGGTTGCCACCGATGCTGACATTACTGAGTAAGTATTTATGTTTTTTGGCCTATCAATGAAAGTAAACATCGAATTATTTTCTGATTTATATTTTGCAAATATTTATCTGATTATTAGTTGTGACCAATGATGTAGCATAAATGCTAAAATGCTTCACATTTTTTTCAAAATTAGTGTGATAAACACAGATTAGATATTTAGACATACAGGTATATTATATTACTTTCACACTTTCTCTAATGATATTATACAGATTTTTATAAGATAATTAACACTTTACACGATTTAGAAAATTAATATTATACTTCAATGTTTAATCAAAGATCATTGACGTTGACTTATACAGTGAACGGCTAAATTATTATTATCAAAGTGAAAAAGACAGCAAATATTTGATTTCACGCAAACAGCGCCTTTGTATCTGTTGATACGTATTTCGACCTAATAGGTCTCATCAGAACAGTTATTCAAAGGTGTTCTCAACGTGAAAGATCAATATTTCCTGTCTTTTAAGAAGCAACAATAACATGGCTTCGAATACGGACGCACTAGCGACATCTAATTTAACAATCGTAAAATAGTTTCGAAACACAATTCAGATTTCTGCTTTTATCTGTGCTTTCTAAAAATTGCAAAGCAAAACAGACGTTGATAAAGGTGTTAAAAGAGACGTGGGGAATCTAAAATTTTAAATTTTGCATTCCACGACACATCTTTTCAACTAAGCAGAAATCCTTAGCGAATTGGTTTCTTGTACTCGTACAGAGTAAATCCGAAAAAAGTGAAAAAGACAGCAAATATTTGATTTCACGCAAACAGCGCCTTTGTATCTGTTGATACGTATTTCGACCTAATAGGTCTCATCAGAACAGTTATTCAAAGGTGTTCTCAACGTGAAAGATCAATATCAAGATCAATTAAAAGACAGGAAATATTGATCTTTCACGTTGAGAACACCTTTGAATAACTGTTCTGATGAGACCTATTAGGTCGAAATACGTATCAACAGATACAAAGGCGCTGTTTGCGTGAAATCAAATATTTGCTGTCTTTTTCACTTTTTTCGGATTTACTCTGTACGAGTACAAGAAACCAATTCGCTAAGGATTTCTGCTTAGTTGAAAAGATGTGTCGTGGAATGCAAATTTTAGATTCCCCACGTCTCTTTTAACACCTTTATCAACGTCTGTTTTGCTTTGCAATTTTTAGAAAGCACAGATAAAAGCAGAAATCTGAATTGTGTTTCGAAACTATTTTACGATTGTTAAATTAGATGTCGCTAGTGCGTCCGTATTCGAAGCCATGTTATTGTTGCTTCTTAAAAGACAGGAAATATTGATCTTTCACGTTGAGAACACCTTTGAATAACTGTTCTGATGAGACCTATTAGGTCGAAATACGTATCAACAGATACAAAGGCGCTGTTTGCGTGAAATCAAATATTTGCTGTCTTTTTCACTTTTTTCGGATTTACTCTGTACGAGTACAAGAAACCAATTCGCTAAGGATTTCTGCTTAGTTGAAAAGATGTGTCGTGGAATGCAAATTTTAGATTCCCCACGTCTCTTTTAACACCTTTATCAACGTCTGTTTTGCTTTGCAATTTTTAGAAAGCACAGATAAAAGCAGAAATCTGAATTGTGTTTCGAAACTATTTTACGATTGTTATTATTATCATTTTTTCGAAAACAATCGAGTTTTGAGGAAAATCCCGAAACAAGTCGATTTTTGTTATAAAATACCCATCTTATAACGTACATGGAATACGTACTAGGAAATAAAGCTGCATACCTCGCAATCGTTTTAGTTCGCGCGTGAATTTTGTTAGTTGTCCGGCAAGTGCCTATTCGCATTGAGCACGCATTGTAGCTTCTCAGATTTTTTTTGGTTTTATTCGTTTTTTCGTAATTCTTTTATTTTGTCTGTATGATCTTTGTTTAGAAGGTAAGTAATATAAATATAGATCGAGCTAATTTATACTTTTATGTATAAATTAGCTCGATAGAGCTAATTTATACATAAAAGCTAAAGCTAATTACGTATAAATTAGATCTGTTGTATCAGATCTGATACATTGCGTTTTGTTACAGGGTCATTATGTATGGTAAAAGACCTTTGTCAGAGCATGAATTAGAGGAGTTGGCAGCAAATTTTTGGAACAGTGATGACGAATTGGACAATAGTGATTCTGAAGAATGTTTTAGAGATGAGACAAACTTAGATCCTGACGAGAATATTGATATTCAAAGCTTACCTGTAGAGTTTGAAGATGAGGTTACTGTCACAGAGTTTCCAGACCAACCAATAGAACCTATTGAGGACCAGCTATCGTCGATGTCGATGTGGTGGTTGAGCCAATCACTACTCGAATCAAAAATATATTGTGGAAGAAAAAAAACCTATCCATTGACGAACTGGCGAAGACTTTTAGAGGAGATACCAACCTTTCTAATGCTATAATGGATTTGTCAACACCATATGCTTTTTTCAAGTACTTTTTTGACAACGAGTTGATCGAAAAAATTGTAACAGAGTCCAATACATATGTTATTCAAAAGGATCCGAGTAAACCTGCTGGACTGACCACCACAGATATAAATCAATACCTAGGAATTTGCATCTATATGTCCCTAGTTCACATGCCTAATTGTCGTAGTTATTGGTCCAATTCCCCAGGCTATCAGAAAATAAAAAACGTAATGAGTGAGAAAAAATTCGAATTTATCAGAAAATGTATACATTTCAACGACAATACAAGTTTGGACCAAAATGATGTGGATCGAGATCGTCTTCATAAATTACGACCCCTTATCGATCATTTGAATAACAAATTCCAAAGCATATCATTGGAACAAAAACTTTCAGTAGATGAGCAGATGTGCGCCTCAAAAGGAAGGCACTATATGAAACAATACATGCCTGCCAAACCCCACAAGTGGGGATACAAACTTTTCGTTTTATGCGGTGTTAGTGGATATTCCTACAATTTCGAAATATACACTGGTACAGAAAATGATAAAAGGAATCGTCGGGTAAATGAAACAGACCAAGGAGCAAGTGCCAATGTAGTTGTCAGATTATCTAGGATTATCCTGGAAAATCACAATTATGTTGTTTACTTTGACAACTATTATACGTCATTGCCTTTACTTCATTATCTTGCTACCAAAGGTATATATTCCCTAGGCACTGTTAGACGAAACCGTATTCCAAACTGTAAGTTACCATCTGAAGATGAAGCAAAAAAAAATGGATCGTGGGACTTCAGTTGAGTATGTGTGTGACTTTGAAGGCGTGGAAATATCGTCAGTGGCCTGGAGAGACAACAAGACTGTTTGTTTGTTGTCAACATATGCTGAAGAATTGCCAAAAGGAAATGTTGAAAGGTTTGATAGAAAAAGAAACCAAAAAATCAACATTGAATGTCCTAAGTTGGTCCAGGAATATAACCAACATATGGGAGGGGTGGACCTTATGGATAGCCTGATTGGCCGCTACAAAATCAAAATTAAATCAAAAAAGTGGTATATGAGGCTATTCTATCATCTTCTTGATATGACGCTTGTAAATTCTTGGCTTCTTTACCGTCGATGTTCCAGAGAAAAGGAGGCAGAGAAATGTATGAAACTTGCCGAGTTTCGGGCTGAAGTGGCATATTGCTTATGCAACGTTGGAAGTAATCGTTTGGTGAAGAGAGGAAGGCCATCAGATCTTGAAAAAGAAATAGCCGAAAAAAGAAAAGGTCAGCAACAACAACGTATATTCCTCCAAAAGACGTAAGGCTTGATGGTCACTCACACTGGCCATTGTACAAAGATACAAGACAGAGATGCAAGATGCCCAAGTGTACTTCTTTTTCGTATATTCAATGTTCAAAATATGGACTATATCTTTGCCTGAACAAAAATAATAATTGTTTTCATAAATTCCATTCAACTTAGATATTTAGTTATTGTAACATATTATACTTATTAATAATGTAATAAAATTTATTTTGTAAAAATTTCCGCTATGTATCATATATGTTATATGCATTGTACCAACCGATGTTCCTTATCACGACGATTCCCAGGGTATCAGGTTCCACTTCCAACAACTTGAGCCGATAAGGATCCTTGCAATTGCAGTACCAGCAGAGTCAGCGGGACCAAGCTTTTTACACGTTCCCACTGAGTCAGCATTTACTAATATTATAAAACCGCTTGTCGCTCTTAATTCAGTATTCAGTATATTTTTGTAGTTCATTCATTATATTTTATATTTCATTCATTTTTACCACGTAACTTGTATTTTGCAATAAATAAATTTTTAAAAGTCAAAAAAGTGTTTCGTGATATAAAAAGTGGCGCAGTCGCAGTAGGATCTGGAAACGTTGGCAGAACAAGGAGAACCTAACTGACAACGGTGGATTCCAATCCTTTAATCAGAAAAAGAACCAGAAAACTCCAAAAAGCAGTGCCGCCCTAACTTTGCAGACATCTACGGAAGGAACACCAAGTGAAGCCCTGGTAGATTAGCTGTCGAGAACAAGACGACTAGATGTTTTTGGAACTAATGTAAGTCTAATACTGAATCATCTCGTATATAATTTTTGTTTAATACCATTTATTACCATATACTGTTCGATATTCCAATATAAAATATTCATTTAATTAATAATTTTATTCCGAATTTGAATATTTTTGATAATTACTTTAATAATTATAAACTTTTGGCGATTATTCTGTAAATCGTCAACTTTTTATTTTTCATTTTATTAAACGATTACCTGTGTCGATTATTCTGCTAATCACACACTGTCTTAGAAAAATACTTTTCCTATATTTTGACTTATTAGTTTAATATTTACATTTTCGATTTATTATTTTGATATTTACATTTTGTTTTATTATTTGATATTTACATTTTGTTTTATTATTTGATATTTATATTTGATTAATTATTTTTAATTAATCCATTATCTTATATTTTTATTTCTATTTCGTTTATTGATTTATTAACCACCATGAATGATAACGGCAACGTTTCTCG